AGGAAGCAGGAGATACCTAAATCTCTACAGAAGACGATCAGTGGGAAAACCAGGGACTGGAGTCTGAATAACAGTCTTACTCCTGCCTTCTCTGCTCTTCCTGGGAACCACCCCCTAGCTGGCTCTTCACCCCCACCGTATTTGTCTGCAGCTGAAAGTGGTCTTTAAGGTGGTGGCTTCTGCCCTGCTGGGAAGTTCCTTGGTTTTCCCGGGGTCTCTCCTGCCGCTACAGAGGGCGGACGTGTGATTGAACTTCTTCACTTGTCTTCCTCGGGCTCAGCTGTCTCGGGTCAATTTGATGACGAGACCAACCAGAAGAACCTAGAAGGGCAGAGGAAATGTTTCCTCCTTGATATGTAGGGGGAAAAGAACTTCGAGGTTTAACTTATATTTATCTCTTATAATAAATGCAGGGCAAAGGATCCTAGAAGAGAAGTAAAGTTATTTTGGGGGGGGGGGATTTTTTTTTCAACTTAACTCTTAGGCAAATCACATGAAGCGTGTCGTTGATTTTGAAACTGTGCGGAAATTTCCTTTCTTCAGTAATAACTTGTTCTCTGTTCTTTCCTCTCGACTCAAAACGGCCTGGTCCAGCCCAGGAGCCGTGGGACTCAGCCGCCGCCCTCTTTCCTCGCGCGTCCACTCCCTGAACCGCTCGGCCTTGAGGGTGTGAGAGTCTGGCCGGCATCACACAGGCTTAGGAACAAAGGCTCGGGCCCGTTGACCACAGAGACAGGGTTTTGGTCCGAGTAAGGTCAACACGTAGGCCTCCGTGGTGTTTCGGCTCCACACCCAGAAAGGCAGAACGGCCCCACCGACCGCGTCCTTGCGCAGCCAGACAGCAAGACGCCACGGCTGACATCAGGACCCAGTGCAACGATCAGCCACCCGCTCCCCTGGCTCGGACCCACCCATAGAGCCCCTGACCCCAACTTCCTCAGTCACTGTGATTTGTGATTTTTGCCCCTGTGTGACCTACCTACCCCCTAGAACCCATCAGGCAGCCAGTTTTAGAACACTAGCTCACCCGCATCTCCGAGTTTGCTGCCATTCCCTTAAATACACCTTAGCTCTCTTGGGTGCAAACTCCTGTTCGCATTTTACTGGGCTTTGATGCCTGCACGCCAGCAAACCCCTTCCGTTGGGTGATGATCTCAGCCTCTGTTCATTGGCCATTCTCCAGCCTCAAGTGACAGATGACAACAATACTGGGCCCTAAGACTTCTTTTTATCCCTGAGAATTACCTGAGAGAGATCACTAGCTGCGTCATCGTGGGCAGGCTTCCCTGTGCTTCAGTGTCTTTACGGGGTTATTGTGAGAACGCAGTGAACTGTAACACGCATCGCTCAGTCTGACACACAGTACACTCTCACACGTAGTGTTATCACCACCAGTACGACTTTATGAGGACTCACAGTTCAGCTCAAGTCAGCACAATTTAGGAGGCCTAGTTTTATTCCCCAACCTCTTTTTTAAAAAGAGATTGTATTTATTTATTTTTGGAGAGAGGGGAAGGGAGGGAGAAAGAAAGAGAGACAGCGAGAGAAACACCAAATGGTTGCCTCTCCCGGGCGCCCCCTCCAGGGTCCGAACCCCCGACTCAGGCACGTGCCCTGACCAGGAACTGAACAGTGACCCCTCCCTTTGCAGGGAGACGCCCAACCAATCGAGCCAGGACGGTCAGTTCCACACTATTTTCCGACCTCCACTGACCCTTGAACTCCTGTTTGTTAAAGGCAATGGACACACCAACCAGAGGCCGTGTGCGGAACCGGGGACAGATACAATGTGTCACTCAGGCGCCATTTCCAGCGGGCTGGGCAGGCTCGTCTGTAAATAACTGCTTACGCTTTAACAGTAGCACCGCCGACCCGGTGAATCTCTCCTTTCTCTGTCTGCGAACCTAAACTTAGTAACAGGGGAAACTATTCAAATCAAAGCGGTCAAAGCTACTGTTATCTGCACGCCTTCGGAGGAGTGAGGAGGGGGCGTCCACCCTTCTGGAGCTGTTTCCATCAGCTGTCTTTCCGGAAAGTCCACGCAAATGAAAATGTTACTCTCGGATATTTAACCGTGGCGCTGACGGAATTTTCCAGATCCGAAATCAACAACTCCAACCTCAAAGCGTTAACAATGGACTTCAAGTGTCTCTGGGGAACAGGCCTAATCAAATCTAAAGTCCCCAGAGGCCACGACTCTCAATTTCCCCTGAGTTCCTAGCAGCTCGCTGGTCTGCACAGGCCCTCGGGGGGCGGATGGAAAAGACCGAGTGTCTGTCCCCTGGTGGGGGGCGCCGGGGGGGGGGCGGCGGTTTCGCTGGGTAGTGCGTGAGGAGGAACCGAAACAAGACAAGGGGAAACAGGCAGGCCCCGCCTCTCTGCACAGGTGATCTGGAAAACTCCAGCCCCGCCCCGAAGCGGCTGCCTTTACCGTGCGCTCCCAGCAGGGTTCTGTCGGCGGCCAGGAGGCAGGTGTGGGCCGCAATGCAGGGATACCCGCATGTGTAGAGAACAAAATGTTTACTTTTCAAAACGCGCGCCTCCGTCTAGTTATCCGCGTCTCACACCAGCAACCGGCGTTCAAGTGCACACTGAGGTTCACTCCTAGCCCGCCTGAGGGAAGAGTCTAAGAAACCGAAGTGCCTGGAACCCTCCGTTCTTTGGGCTCCCCCCCCCGCCCCCCCAGCTCCAACAAAGAGGTGCTTCCAAACGCCGCGGCAATGACACAGTAAGGGCAGCTCCTGAATGCACCCTTCCCTTTGAGCCTTAATTTCTATTAGGGCTAAGTAGCTGCTCCTCCGAAAGTTCTCCAGGTTCCTTAAGCGGTCTGTTAGTTTCGCAGGGGGTCTGCCGCCAACCCCGCCGCGCGGTCAGGGTTGGCGGATACGAGGCAGCAAGCAATTCCGCTTTTTCGGCTGCAATCTCAGCAGGTGCGCTCGGTCCAAACCAACACCGCGTGCTTTCGTGCTCCAGCTCAGCTCCGTTAAGCTCAGGAGGGGGTCCTCCGCGGGCGCACTTTTGAGGAACCGAGAAGAGCCACCCAGCCAAAAGCGCGGCACCTGGAACCACGCCGGGCGCGCGCTTTGTGCCGAGAGCCCTCCTGCGCCAAAGGGGCTGGCGTTCGCGCTGCGGCCCCCGCGCACCCCAGCCCAGGCCAGCAGAGTCGCCTCCCTTGCAAGTCGACCCCTGCAGAGGGCCCGGTGCTCCACGTTTCCCCAAGGCCCTCAGAACAGCCCCGACCTACCCTGGGCCCCCGCGGGGATCCGGCGCCCCGCTCAGCACCCCGCCTCCCCAGCCACTTCTGGTGTCTACCCCATACCTCCGCCCCTCTCTCAACACCAGCCCCGCGCCGGTCACCTGCAGGCGGAAAACCGCACCAGGGGCGCCGCCGTCCGCCGCCGGCTCGTGTCGGCCCGTAGGGGCAGCGTGGCGAGAAGACGCTGCTCCCCAGCGGCTCAGAGACGGACGCTGCGCCCCGACGCCACCACGCCCCGCCCCGCGCCAGCCCCCCGAACCCCCGCCGCCCCGGCTGGCCGGCAGAGACGCTCCCCGGGAAGCAAGAAGCGAGAAGCGAAACACATCCGCGCGCCGCCAGCTCGGGGGAGGGGGACACTCTGAGCTCCCGCCCTCTCCCCTCCCCAGGGGAGCGGGCCCGGGCTTGCTCCGGAGAACCGCTGGGGCTCGGTGGAACCAAAGCCCATCACACTTCCCTCGGCTCCCTAGCTTCGCCCCTCGTCAGTCCCGGGCGGTGGCGCTACATCACGGGCACCTCGGGCTTGGTTTGCCCCGTGACCACCCCCCTCCCTGACAGAGCTTGGCCTGAAGAGGTCAAGGCACAGTGCCCCGCGGTGGCTGCGGCTTCCCACGGAGACAGCAGGAACCGATTTCACAAAGGCAGGTGAAGGGTGGTTAGCTGCCAGTCACCGGGGCTTGGAAGAGGGCAGATGGGACCGAGCTCAGACCTAACGTGTGGGGGGTTCCGTCGTCTCAGGAATTCAGATCGGCCCAGGACCCACGGGGGGGAAGGGCTTGCGTTCCTGAAACCAGACAGAAGGGGGCGTGGGTGCGCGCCTCTGTCTGCCCAGGATCCGCGCTGCCAGGCGCTTCCCCTCGCTATCCTCAGCGATCCTATATCCACACCCCGGAGAAAGACAGGCCCTCCGCTCCCACTTGGCGGGGGAAGCACCTTAGAGAGGCGAGGTGACTTGCCCACGGTCCCGCCACTAGCGCGTGGCAGAGCCAGGCCCTGAAGGCACCTGCGTGGAACACCAACACCCGTCCTCGCCGGCAAGACGGAAGAGCAGGGAGACGCAGGGGCCGAGTGAGAGCCCGTGTCAGGATGGCAAAGAGACGGCTCCAGAAGACGCCGAGAAAAAGAACCTTAAAACACGAGCAGATGTCACGCAGAGTAAATCGTGGGGGCGGGGGGGTGCTAGCCAGACAACGACCGACGGCACCGGGGTAGCAGGCTGGGCACCGCCAAGGCCCGGGCCGCGTGCTCGGAGGGAGACCAGGAGATTTGGGGCCCTGACGGTCAGATCCAGTTAGTTCCCTCCGAAGCGGCTTTGAAATGGCCTTAAGCAGAGCCGGCACGGTGGGGCCTGTGCCCTGCTGTGTGTGAGGCACCCTGCACACTTGAGCGTGTACACACACACACACACACACGCACACACACGGCCCCGAGTCTGGGAGGGCAGCTCTGGAACTAAGCACGGACAGTCGAGGACACAGTGTGCCAGTCAGGAGCACCCACTGGAGATCCACTCTGTCTCCCGTGGGGTCTGGGAGCAGCACTTTCCCCGCACGCTGATTGCTGAGGGGCGGGCTGTCCGAGGCAGCCCGGTGGCTCAGTCGACTCCGAGAAAGCCACCGGTCATCAGGCACCCGGCACCACGCAGGGAAAGCGGAGGCTGGTTGGGTTTCTGTTTTCACGGGGAAAGTCGTCTTCCAGAGCTCAGCGCGCTCCCAGAGGCGGGGCTGCAGGGTCGGGCACAACTCACCGCTTCAGCCAGGCCGGCCGGTCGCGCACAGGGCTCCGTGGTGGCCGGGACAGCCTCCTAGGTGACAGGAGCTGCCCGCCCAGACCCCGCCAGGCTCCAGAAGCCGCGGTTCGTGCCGTGAGCGAGCAGAGACGCGACCCTGCGTCGGAGTCCGCAAAGGGGAACTCGGTCTCTGAGCAAAACAGGAAGGCCGGGAAGAGACGCACTGCACAGTGAGCTGCAGGAGGGAGCAGTGCTGACACACGGCCATCCCACCCGGCGGCCGGCCGGGCGGTCCCGCGTGGGAGGGAAGCCCGGCGTGGGCGAGGGAGGGAGAGAACCGGGGAGGCTGCCTGTGGCTTGTCTCTCTGCCTGCCCGTCAGTCTGAAACACCCGGCGTCCCCAAGACGACACATTCGTTTAATGTTGCTTACTTGAGGGACCCAGAATTGGCAAGTGCTTAGAGACAGAAAATGCAACGGCATCGCCGAGGGTTAGGGGAGGGCCGTGGGCGTTGCTGGTTTCTGGGCACAGGTTTCTGCTGGGACGAGAGAAAGTTCCGGGGCTGAGTCGTGGTTCCGGGTGGGCATCACTGCGCGTGGACTTCATGCCATTGACGCGTACACTTAAAAATGGTTAAAATAGTAAAGCTATATATATATATATATATATATATATATAAAATTTTTTTTGGTCTTAAAAAAATTTTTTTTAAATATTTATTTATTTATTTTTAGAGAGGGAAGGGAGGGAGAAAGAGAGAGAGAGAAACATCAATGTGTGGTTGCTGGGGGCCGTGGCCTGTAACCCAGGCATGTACCCTGGCTGGGAATCAAACCTGCGACACTTTGGTTCCCAGCCCACGCTCAATCCACTGAGCTATGCCAGCCAGGGCTTATATATATATATAATTTTATGTTATGTATACATCACCACAATGTTTAAAATCTACTATCATGATGTAATACTTCTTTGGAGTGAGAGCAGTGTGATAAGAGAGGGCCCCCACCGCGGGAGATTCTTTCCTTGCATTTTTATCAGTCTTGCCCTGTTCTGCGGTCCTTTCGGGGTGTCTGAGCCCAGTTTATGGTTGTGGCACTCCCCGTTCAGGAGGGACCGTCCTGCCATCTTGCTGTTTGCTTCTGCTGGTGACAGGTCGTTCGGGGCCAGGGGGGTGTATTCAGAGAGACCACGCCCTGAAAGAGGCTCTTGACCTTTAAGAGGTAAAGTGAACGCAACCAGGACTGGGGACTCAGGCGAAAATGCGGTTCACTTCCGACCACCCCGGGATCCCAGGCACGCCAACCCCGCCGGGTGGGGAGGCCCTGACCCGAGGGCCGGCCTTCCCCGTGGAGACGGCAGGGCAGGACGGGGGCCACGCGCCTGTGGTCTGGCGGATGCGCAGCCTTGTCCTCTGTCCCCCCTGCACCCCTCTCTTGTCCCACAGTTCCACCGTTTCCCTTCGAAGGTGCCTTCCGCCGGGCCAGCAGAGACACCAGAAGCTGCTCCTGTTCTGGGGTCTGCGTTCTCGATGACCGCTGCGGACCACAGGGGACACTGGGGGTCTCGCACGTGTGTGGTTGTCGGCAGGGAGCTGCTGTTCGAGCTGCAGATACTGCGGTGTTCGTCTTCTGTCCTGCCCACTAGCTCTCCGGCCCCGGAGGGCCTTACTCAGCTCTGAATTCCTTCCCCTGCACCCCACCCCCCACCTCCGCCCCAGGACCTCGCCCTGTACTTCATCTTGGGGGGGACTGTTGCTCTCAAACCAGTGTTCAGTTTCTTCTTTCAATCCCGCCTCCTTTGCCCGGAAACCCGCGGCGGGCCCCGACGGCTTGGAGAACAGTCTGCACATGTTTCTACCTTCATGCGTTGCACCACTGACCACACCTTTATATATATATATATTTTTTTTAAAGATTTTATTTATTTATTTCTAGAGAGGGAAGGGAGGGAGAAAGAGAGAGAGAGAGACAAACATCAATGTGTGGTTGCTGGGGGCCGTGGCCTGCAACCCAGGCATGTGCCCCGACTGGGAATCGAACCTGCGATGCTTTGGTTCGCAGCCCTCGCTCAATCCACTGAGCTACGCCAGCCAGGGCCACACCTTATGTTTTTTTACGTCTGCGTCCCCAGACCTGACCCGGTGCTTCAGGGTTTCTGTCTCACATTCATTAGTGTTTATAGCAGCCTTCTGGCCCCGTTCAGACCGTTTCCCTAGACTTTTCCACCCGGACTCTTTACTAAGGAAAGGTCGAAACCCCCAGATAAAATCCTGTGTGGCTGGTATGGACTTTTCTCTGTGACTCTGGTGCCGAAAAAAACCAATTACCTTATTTTTCTAACATTTTTCAAAATCGAACTAAGTTGACTTGGTATCTGTATTTGAACAAGTGGCAAGAGAAAACGCTGTCCTGTGTGGGAGAGCCTTGCCCCTCCCGGGAGGCACGCGAGAGCCCGGGCGGGCGCGCAGCATCGGAGGGGGGGAGGTTCCTGCACCTGGCTCCACTGCGGTCGCTGCCGAGATCCTCACGTGTGCAGTCTGTTCACGGGAGCAGTTCCGTTCGCTGGGCCAAACTGTGGGCACAGGGGTCCTTCCCCAGGCTCCCAGGGGTTCAGTTGCTCAGCACCCAAATGTGGCCCCTCCAGGGCATCTGTCTCTTTCTCACAAACCCTCTCCACCCTTCCCATTAAAAAAAAATCCCTGGCCCTGGCTGGCAAAGCTCAGTGGATTGAGTGGGGTTGCAAACCAAAGCATCACAGGTTCGATTCCCAGTCAGGGCACATGCCTGGGTTGCGGGCCACGGCCCCCAGCAACCGCACATTGATGTTTCTGTCTCTCTCTCTTTCTCCCTCCCTTCCCTCTCTAAAAATAAATAAATAAAATCTTTTTAAAAATCCTTTTTCTTAGCTTCCACTTGAAGAAGGTACTTTCCACTCAGGTGACTCCTGCCTTTCTGCTTGCAGTCCCGCAGCAGCACAGTTGAGCTGCATACAAACATCTCCGAACTCTGCCTGAGGGGACTCAAAGCCCGGCCGGCCCTCCCAGGGGCGGTGAGAGGAAAGGGGTCTCCTCTAGTCAGGGAAGGAGCGTGGCGATCTCAGTGTTGGCGATCTCAGTCTGCCCAGAGGACCCGGGTCACCTCTGCGTACACAGCCCCCTGCTTGGGCTTGTGCAGCCTGGCTCGGCCAGGGGAGCCAGCGATGCGGAGTGATGGAGCATGCAGTCACCAGGGGCCGGTCACCCCCTGTACGCGTGGCCATTGGCCCCGGCCTGGGACAGGCTGAGTCTGGGTCTGACATGTAACCGATGTAAATGACTCATTCCAGGGGACAGCCAGTACAAGGAGGGGTGACGAAGACAATGCTTGTATCAAGGAGGAGAAATTCACATTTGAGAAGACCCAGCGCTATTTTGTCTTTAATTCTCGTAGGACCTGATTCCTGGTCCATCCACCGCTAAGTAACGAGGAACCAAATATGTTCTAGAACCAGCATCACATGAACAGAGCAGATGCCCTGTGGTTAATGCCGGCCACGAGAGAACCCCGCCCGCCATGGTGTGGGTTACACACAGACGAGAGCATGTTCTGGTGTCCGTGTCCCTGGCACGGCCATGTCACTCCTCCCTTACCCTGTGGGGTCGCTGAGAGGATGTCACTCAGACAGGCCCCTGGCTCCTGAGGGACAGGGGCTATCAGAAGCAGCAGTAGGAAGTCCACAGGCCAAGACTTGCAGCGCCCGAGAATCATGTTGATGTTTGTCTTTAAAGCCATAAAAAAAAAAAAGGAACTTAGAAAGCGTGTCCCTAAAAGGACATTAGCGGTCAAAATAACACAGGGTGTCCGGTTTTCATTTCCATAGTTTCCTCCCCTTCCTGTAGCACTTTTTAATTTCTCAGCCTTGTATAAATTTCTTTGTGGGGTGTCCTGAAGCCATGTTGCTAGTTCGGCTTTGTCCCCCTATTTTTAATGTTTTTTAAAAAGATTTTATTCACTTATGTTTAGAGAGGGAAGGGAGCGAGAAAGAAAGAGAGAGAGAAACATCAATGTGTGGTTGCTGGGGGCTGTGGCCTGCAACCCAAGCATGTGCCCTGACTGGGAATTGAACCTGAGATGCTTTGGTTCTCAGGCTGGCACTCAGTCCACTGAGCTACGCCAGCCAGGGCTAGATTTTTTTTTTTTTATGTTGTACCCTAGTTCCTCCTCCTCATCCTCCATCTCTCCCTCTTCTGCAGTAGAATTCAGTTGGACCTGGAGGGAGTTTTGCCTTCAGGTTGTTGAGAGGAAAGACACTCTCCATTCCTGACTTCCTTTTATAAGACTATGTGAATAGTATCAGTAAAACCATAAGCATCAGACACCAGCCACCAAATTAGCTGTGTTATCTACTGAGGAGTCACTTTATTTAGATCACAGTTAGGAACTCGAAGACAGAATTGGAAACTAAAGGAAAAAGAAAGAAAAGCCTTTGATATTGTCCCCAAGGTATTTACAACCTAATAGTAAAATACGTATTTTTACAAAGTGACTTTTCAAATGTTGAACTAGAGGGTGGCAGAGGTGGCTGCGGCGCAGTTGGACACGTCGCCATAGCAACCAGCCTGCGGGCGTCTTTCCTGCTCCAGGGAGGGAGGGAGGGAGGCGGCCGGGGAAGCCTGTTCTCTCTGCGAGGCCTGGCGGCTGAGGTCTTAGCCCCTGACTCGTCACTGGCCGAGGCGAAGCTGCTGGTGAACACCCCTCCTCCCCAGGGGCCGGCGCAGACAGGAGGTTGGGGGGGGGGGGAAGAGCCCTGTCCCCGAGGGAAGGCCGCAGTGAGCGCGCGCGGGAGCCACCCGTCTGAAGTAGCAACTGACTGAAGGGCCGAATGGAGGAACCCGAGACTCATCCCTGATGGCCGGTGGAGAGCTCTGACTTCCAGAGAGAGGACACGTGCGTTGATTCTGGAAGAGACCCAGACTTTGGCCAGATCCGTAAGTGCAAGGCCATTTCCCAGATTCTCCTGGATCCCGTTTCTCTCTCTTTACACTGAAGTTTTTCGGCGCTGTCCCTGCTGGCTTCTGGGCCGGAGAATCCTCGTGGTCGGTCAGCCGCTGCTGTCCCGGGCACTGCGGGGCGCTCACCAGCGCCCCTGTGGTCCCTCCGCCCTGGACGCCAGCAGCTCCTTCCCCACCGGCCGCGGC